TATCGGTGGCTAAATTAAATCAAGCGGCACTAGCTAGACTACAGTCACTTCTCTTGCTACTACCCTCCTCCTTCTCCCTCAGCAAACAAATTTTTCCCCAGATAAGATCTAAATGAGTTTTTCCAGGCAGAGGAAGATCCTCTGTTTGGCTGATGGATATTGTGCACGGCTGCAGTGTGACCAGCACCCGGCAGTAATCATCCGCCATAGCTATAAGTGCCACGCACGGCGGCCTATGTGAATAGGAGATGTGTGGTTTGTGTGTAAATGAGATAAAATGTGTGAATGAGAGTTGGCACTGCTAGGTTCCCCCGCACCCAGCTTCATTCATTGAGAAATACCCAACTGGGCCCCTGCACTGCAGAGCCTCAGCACTGAGGCTTAGTGTCATGGTGGGCACAGTCGCTTTGAGGCATCACCACAGGAAACCATGGGACAACAGCATGTCAGGGAGGGAGGTGGTATTCTTATAAGGGGGAAATAGGTGGGTGGGATCCAGTAGCAAATTGGGATGTCCGTAGTGGTGCAACAGTCTGGCTGCGGGAGAATCCCCACATGGATGGATCATTGTAAACCAGGGACAGCAACCACACATCCAGAGAGACCAATAAAATGATGTGGTATGGGCAGTGGGAGGGTGGGTGAAGGGGGGCGGATTATAGACTCCCAGAGGGCTCTGCGATTCACAGGCCATAAAATGGAAGTCAGCAGGACACACTGCAAATCTGGGCAGCCAATATCCACCATCCCCTTCCTCCCTCTTTCGACCCTGAGGATGTGTCTCAGCCGTACGTCACAATGCAACCCCAGCGAGCACGTCCCGTTGTCGGACAATCTCAACTCCCTTGGACGCCGCTATTCTCCCCCGTTACATTTGCATGTCAGCCGCTGCGGCTTTGTTCAAGATCTGCTTGGTTAAAAGAAGGGAAAAAAAGGATAGATAAGGAAACAGACAGAACAGTGGAAATCTACGTAGGCCTTTGCCATCCGGGGAATAAAAAGGCCGCTTTTGTCAGGAGGTTCCCTATACTTTCAGATATCCCATCGCATTTTAACCTTGGCAAGGCGAGGACTTTGAATATAAAAGGATTCGCCCAAGAGAGTGAAAGAGAGAAAGAGATGTGGAAGACTGGCCTCATGTCAACAATAGCCATGGTTCTTTTGTCCACAGTGTTATTTGAAGTAAATCTCCCTCTGTAATTAGATTGGAGCTGTTTGTGGACATCTTAGGAGAGTGCGTCAGTGTTAAAACAGCAACGCGCGAGGGCCCTTTTAATTTACAGTGCAAATACCTTTCGATTAGCGTGGAGAGAGAGGAGGGGGAGCAGGGACTGAGGAGGAAGGACAATAGAGGAGTCTTTCAATCCTTTTCTTTTTGTTGTTGTTGTTTGAGAGCGGGAAGAGGTTCGAGCAGCTCTCCTGTGTTCCTTAATTGTGAAGCAAGGAGATTAGTACGAGTGCTTCCAACCTTTCACCCCAAACAAAGGAGCCATCAGATCCAGTTGCCTAGTGACACAGGGTTTCACACCGGCAAATTTAGCCACTGCCTTCACCACTCCAGCTCCTCGTGGTACATCTTAAGAGGAGGAATGAAATCTCCAGCCTTTGCTCGTGCACCGCCTATGCAAACCATTTCTGCCCCCGTCCATCTGACAGCACCCTTAATGGCACAGAGCAGCCACGCTAATGAAAATGGCCGTTCATCCTCACTCCGAGTCTGTCTCTCAGACTCATATAAAAGTTAATGTACCCGTGACAATGACATTCAGAAGACCGTTTAGCTTTGGACAAATGCTGCATTTCTTGGTGGCAAGAGCAGCCGGGCACACAGAAATGTCCTTTTACACTGCGTGCAGCTCAATCAAAGGGCACTTAGCAGTGTCATATTGATTATGGGATCTTAACCCCCGTCAATCTCTGATGGGTCATTTTGGCAGCTTTCCCGTAGATGGGCTTCAATGAATAGAACTGCCTAAACAGAAAAAAGGGGTTCCCTCATCTTAAGTCACTGCTGGTCACTCATAACAGAACATAAAACCATAGGGGTATGCATCAGAAGGAAACAGGAAGGTGATTCCTGTATATATGTGTGTGTTGTCCCGGCTGTCTCCCCCTCTGAGGCAGGAGAAACTTATTACGACAAAACAAGCAGAGATCCTAGACAATCCCAATTATGAAAATGACATTTAGACCTAATTAATTATCGCTCCATTTGAATGTGATTTCAGCTCCCAGTTGATGAGCTGACTTCATCTCCCTATAAAGGAAATGAGCTACTTACCAACCTTCCTATAAGAAAACCGCTTAGATCACTTACCACACGAACAAAGATACTTTACAAATATAATGTTAGAATTCTATATTATGCCTTGGCCAGTGCTTCTAAAAGCATTTACGGCAGCCTATATGAACTGATAGGAGAGTAATGCTACATTACATTTAAAGTTAAATGGCAATTTCCAGGCTGGTGGACCTTAATTGTAGTTTGTGTTTGTTCCAGTGGTTTATTTCAGGAAAACCAGGAGAGAAAAATGGATGCTTGCCAGACTTTCTTTCCCCAGTGGAATATCTTGCTCTTTAATGTTGGCTACAGTAGAGCCAGCTTTACTTTACTGGATTTACAGTATGTTAAACTCAGAAAGGTCAGGACTTTTTACCACAAATCTCATGGGATTTACATTACAGCTAATCCTTTACAAATTAGGCTTTAAAGTTAAGAATTTTTTTCAAGTAACTTACATTATGTACCTCCCAGGCAGCCATTGATTCCCATTAATTTTTAGCTTTGAATGAAAATCATATTTAGGGGTTATATTAAACTCAGAAATGTAACCCCGGTAACCCTTTGTAGAAATCCAGCTTTAGTGTTTCCTTAAACAACAACTGTTTTTTCTACCTTCCAGGCAACTATTGATTCCCATTAATTTAATTTCAAAGATAAGTGCATTTTGCACACATATGCACACATCCCTTGCAGTAATTTTGCAGAAACACTGCTATGACTTTTTTTTCTCCACTCATCGCTGTATTTAATTTAATGTAAGGAATTTATTGCAGCTTACGTACTTTAGCTAAAGAGATGTGACATGTGAGTGAACACTATTCAAACCAGAGGCCACAGGTGTTTGACTTCATTGAAACCTATTTGCATATAATAGTAGTGGCGATATAATGAGATAATAGCATATTCTTAAACATAACCCCATATTGCTCTGTGAAGAATGGAGCTGATCAGTTCAGAATAACCTTGACTTCCCTGCGATGACATTTCTTTGCTGTGGAGGAATGACGGCTCGTGGTGTTAGGCTCTTGAAGACCATACGGCGGCTTGAAGCAGCTGTTGTACTTTTGGACGGGGAAGAGTGAAACAGAGAGCAGTCATTGAGTTCGTCTTGGAGGTGGCCTGCTAGGACAATACTCCGAAAAGAAACTCAAGTGGGACCCATTACACCCCACCGAGGGCAGACTCTTATCAGTTAATAGCAGGTTTCCCCCTGAGAGCAGATTGTTTTGATAGATGGCACCTGGTCAGGCCTTTGCAACCAGCCACAAAAAAAAAACACTAGTGTATGCTAGATAAGCTCTGCCAGGGAAAAATAGCATCCTGTGAGTGTTAATTTGTACATGAAGGAGAGTAAAATGTTTTCTGACTGAACTTTCTTGTTTCACTTCTTCTTTGGTTGTTTGCTGGCAGTATCAGTGTGCAGTGTGTTTGCTCAGGTGTGGTGTTTGGAGTGAATCAGCAGTTCACCTGATTTGACAGCATTGTTGTTGTCACATTTTACGCTCTCTATTTGGAGGCGCTGCTGTGACCTGGAATGCTTTGATCTTAGTGTCTGTTGACGACAGCATCCCGAGTTATACATTAGTTGGCTTTTTATCATATTTTTAAGTCTGGTATTAGGTGGCAAAGGCTATGCAGACCTGACCTGCACAATCTCTGCAGCTATTTACAACCATCCCTTGCAGCTGCCATAAACAGAGTGGAAAATGAGTTAATGTGTATCAGGTTGTCGGAAAGCAGCTGACATGAAACAAAGCTTTTCACAGAACAAGTGAAAATTCTCGTTCAAGTGCTAAATATATCATTTCAAACTCATTTAGTGGCTGCTAAGCATCCTTTGGCAAGCAAGATAAGTAGCAAAAAATGTGTTACGGCTGTAATCTTCATATCAGATCAAAGTTAAAACCTCACAGGTCACTCATAGTTATTGTATTTTTGGTTCATCCCGAACTGGTTCAACAAGATCCAGGACTCTTATCTAACTGACAAGCCTTTGTTTGCAGCTTGACTTGCCCGATATTTGAGGTCAAAGATTCCTGAAGGAGCAGAAAGCTTCAATCTCTTTTTTGTTTTTGTTATCAAATTACTGGAAAGATGATGCAAGTCTTGACATGAAATCAGCACAGAGAGGACGGGGCTCTCATTATTTCCAAACATTAAGAGAATCTTGGCTGAAGCAGATGGGGAGTTGAATGTTGCACAGTCCAATATGTTGGATATAGTCAAATGAACGGAAAAAGAAGCTGTGTATGGGCATAATAAAGGTTAAAATGCAAAGTTATGTCATTGTGTAAAAGCCCAGGCTTATTCAGGAGTGTTAAAACCACTTCAGCTGATCCTTAGGTGAGAAGATATTTCCCACGTGATATCAATAAGTCAGTGATCACCGTGCACCTTTCCTTGTTGTCTTTGCTGCCCTTCATTCCTGCTCTCCTGACTCTAATATGTAAATGTTCTCCTGAAAATTAATTTAGCATTTAATTATGTATTTATTCACTAGCAAATATGCCAAAAGTCTCCGCGGTGTCAGCAACACACTCGTAAGTCAGCGGCCAGCTGTTCACTGTAAACTGACCTTGACTAACTTCTGCAGCTATGGAGCAACAGTGTTATTTCACAAATCAGAAATCTTCTGCACAGCAATATGATATAGCAATAAAAGGTATAACAAATGAAGAATGAGGCTCGTTGCATGTAAAAACCACTCAGCTCTGGAGCAAGACTTTATCACATTTATTCATTCATTTATTTAACATTTTTTGTATAGTAGAGCTCTACCTTTCACATACACACAATAAATGATACAGAGGCTCAAATCTGGTTTCACATACATTATTGTGTGGTGGAAAAGCATATTTCGTATACAGTCTGACTTCTTGAAACAACAAACATTTTTACAGTAATGTATTCCAAAAATCCAATATAGGCCACAATGTGAATTCAACTAGGTAAGGATGATTTGCTTCCATTATAATAAACAGTGAGCTGTAAAAGAAAAGTGAAATTAGTCCACATTCACAAACATATTTAGCTGCATTCTGCAGTCACAATACACAAGGAATGTATCAGTGTTTATTATGAATAATTAGATAAGTGGAATTTAGACTGAAAAACTTGAAAAATGCAGGTGAAAATAAATGTTCAGAGTAATCACTGGCTCGTTTATTGTTTCTCCAGCAGCTATTTGCTGTGTGTAACTATTTGACATTTTCTTCATTTTTCACATCCCTTTTGATGAGTGAAAGCATATTCTGAAATTGTTATCAGCAACAAGAGGTGTTTACTGTAAACAGCAGGAAATTCAACAACTTCTTGGTTCATGAAAAGACAAAATCGTGAAAAAATAGTTTGACTGCTTTAATGGTAATTCTGGTATCTTTTCAGTACAAAGCAAAAGTATGAGCTCTAACTGCATGTCTGCGTGGTGAGGGGGTTCAGCCATTGTTGGCACACATTGTTGGAGTCCTTTTTTACTGCAGACAATTTGAGATGAGTGAAGATCTCCCATTATATTCTTTAATTTTTTAATTGGGGGATGCGACAAGTATATTTTTTACTTAAAAATCTTGACCAGCTCAGCTTTGATTTCAGAACCCCCCACCCTCGGCCCACAAAAAAAGAAGTTTCCTACCAAGGAATGTTTGGGGGTGGGTCCACTCGTCCGTACCGCGGTGTCTCCTTACAGTCCGGCTGACCAGCAGGCTCAGGGAGGTGATTGATTGGGTGGTGCTGGGGCCACCAAGGACCCTCTCTGCAGCTTTAGAGGTTAGGGGTCACCTCCTCTGCAAATCTGCTTCCTTTTGTACAGTCGCAACACCAGGAGAGCAGTGTCACATCACCCCCTCCTCTTTCCTACCCCCCCGTCCCTCCTCCCTCTGGTCTTCACCCTGGGAAAATGGGGGAGGCGTCAATTAAACCTTTTCTCTCTTTCGCTTCAGTTCTCTCTATCTTCTGAAGTTGCTCCCTTAAAAAAAAAAAAAAAAAAAGCAAATTCTTTAGGTTTAAATGCAAAGAGGCGCTCAGGGCTGAGCCGCGGTGCTGTTTAAAGAGGGTTTGTTAAGGTTTCCTCAGAATAAAACTAATGATAATGGAGCATGCAGGCTGTTGTAGAAACACTGCTTAATGGATTACTTAAGCAAGCAATTAGCAGTACACTAGCAGCCAGATATCAGCATCTGAATGGTTTAAAATATGTGTCAGTTGTAATGACGCTATGTGGCAATTACTCTTCTTAATAGATTGATGTGAAACTGGTTGGACTGAGATGTTGATATAATGAAAAAAAAAGCTTCTTCCCCTCTCTCTGGTGCGATAGAAAAGTTCAAACTAGACTCAGGAAAGTTTAGGTTGTTGTGTAATCTTGTTCCCCTACGCAATCAGAAACCAAATCTAAAACCATAACCAACTGTAGGGTGGGGGGGGGGGGGGGGGCAGAGTTTGGGCTTTGCAACCATATTTACACGCCAGAGCAGAGAAGAGCCCTGCAATGTAATCCTTTGATATGTAGTCAGTCCGAAGGGTTTGCTGAGGGATAACATTGCAATTCAGAAAATGTGGCTGGTCCTTGGCCCTCAGGGGCCAAGCCTTTGTGGTCACAGGACCAGGATTACACTTTAACCCCCACCACTGCAAGCAACCAGCTCCCCCCCTCCCCAACCACCCTGGCTAAGGCCTGGGGTCAGGTGAAAGGCCAGGAATCTTAAACAGGGTAGAAAAGGAGGGAGAAAGGGGAAAAAAAGAGAAAGTCTGTCTTTTAAACATCCCAAAATGCAGTTCTCTGACTGGATTCCAGCCCTGAAGAACATAGCTGCTGCTTTGTTCCTGCACCAATAAGTACATATAAGGTATCTTCATCTCCATCTAAGTAAATGTAAGGGGGGGGTGTTTGAACTTACTTTGAATTAAACTTTGACCAGCAGACACAATTGAATATGAAGAGAGGTTTGCATACAGAAATGGAGTGAAATGCAATTGTCTAATCAAACCGACCCTGCATCTGATAATAAATAATGAAGTAGAGATATCTGAAGTTAAAGTTAATAGAGGGGAGAGCTAATCCAGTGTGCCTGTATGTATTAACACCTATTGTCAGCCAGAGGTGTCCATTGTCCAGCAGATGACATGTGTGTCTCTATTAGATTGTCGCGGACAGAAAGTTAAAGTCCCCCCCCCACATTTAGGAATCAGAGTTTCTTCCTGTTCCTGCCGTGTGATGTTTGATCTTCACTGTGAAGAATGATGTTTGTGCAGTTTGACACCAGAAGGATGTTTTCACATTCATCTGCTGAAAGTGGAACGTTTCTCTGCGCTCACTGAAGATCTGATTTTTAAGCAGCAGGGCCTACGAGCTTGGAAGTCAGTCCTGGTCCAGTACAAGTTTACCGTGTGATCCACCAGTGCACAGACACTGAGGAGGAAGCAGGAGACATCTTTAGAAATAAAAACATTTGCATATTCGTATATTCTGGTTTTATTGAGGTAGAAGGAATAGATTACTTTTTAATGTTGAAAAACATATCAGACACACATTATTTGGATATATGTCTTAATACGTGTCTGAAGGGGATCTTTAAACATAGCTGAGCTTATTCTTCTATAAAGGATTCATCATCCGTAACAATGAAGGATCTGGAGTTTACCTTGAGGACAAATGTTGTCCAGACACTGTTCTTGGAAAAGTGAGTTACATGATTATGCCTCTTCCTTTTTTCTAGCATTCTCTTCTTCAAACAAAAACTTCTTGGCATCTGTGCAAAAAGGAAGAAGTACTTAAAACAGTGCGAGCTGTTTGACTGTTTGATGGTAAACTTATCTCATCCTTACATTATCCAGCTGGAGGAACGTAACGTTCACATTTCTGTCTGCAGCACATGATCGCTGTTTCCATAGTTCGTGCTCATTTAATCAAGTTTGATGAGGGTGTGTTGTCTCCACAGACAGAATCTTTGTTACAGATCAGCCCATTGTGGCTGCATGCTGCTGCTCAGTCACATGCATAAAGTCGCAGAAACGCCGGCTCTGTCTTCCCTGCTGCCCACCCAGAGGTTGCGTTTGTGTCTGGTGTGTGTTGCTGTCGAGTGCGTTCGCAGGCCAGATGTATGGAGGAAGCGTTGGGGTCGAGGTGGGAGAACCCCCCTCCCCCGTCCCGCAAAAAAGTGTGGATTTATAGCAGCAAGTCTGGGTCAGAGAGCTAGTGGTGTCTCCCTCCCACACCACACTATAATTTCCTGGGCTCTGTCCACGGGGAGAAATATGGCCTGAAGACAGAGAGGTAGAGGAAGAGAGGAAGAGCTAAAGATAGAGACGACAGAGCAGACACAAAGCGGTAACGCGGGGCGATGAGGAAGACGCAGTGGGAAGATGCTGACAACAAGTTACACATTGTTTTCCATTACACACAAATCTCACAAAGTCTTTCATTAAGATCCCTAATGATTCTTAATGACGCTCAAGGAACAAATAAAAGGCTCATCACAGAATCTTTCTGCTTCAAGAGGTAAAAAGGGAAAGGCTGTTCTATTTTTCATATTGTCAACCAATGAATTGATCCCACTAACAAATATTGCCAGTGTAGTCCTGATATAGCTTCGTATATTTAGCTCCATATTTAGCTCCAACGATTAAAACACACGAGTGAGTCACACTGTTGCACCGGACGACATGTTTCTTTATCGCCATGAACACACACACTGCAGTTTATTTTGATTCAATCCCACACACACTGTCCTGCTGCTGTAAACACCCACAACAGAACCAAGAATGTATTAATCCGCTGCGAAAAATAGTCCCTAAAAGTGAAACTATACATTTGTTTTTAGGGTTTCACACAGGAACAAATGAGCGCCACAGGCAGGAGAGGGAGGTTTATTGCATTGTGGGTCGCCACTCTTACCCTCTAATGGTACCCTATCATTGTATCATTGCTACTTTTACTCACCTTAAAGGGTTTCCCTGTAGTGGGATTTCCTTAATGAACCTTGAGTGGGTTGTGGGGGGTCCCAAGCAAAAAGAGGAATAGCATATTTTAACTTTCATTACATTTTTTGGAAGTTGTTGTTTATGCTGATGTTTTGATTGTTGATTCTTGTTGATTGTTGACTATTACTGTTTTATTTTCCAACCTAAAAATAAGAAGAAATACTTAAGGGGATTCCTTAGAAGACCCCGTATTGAGTTAATAAGGGTCATTCAATGAACCCTGAAATGTTCTGGGAGTTCTGTGTGGAGCTACTGAATGTTATGAAGCCAAATTATTTAGTTTTATGTCTTTTTTTCAAAATTATTTCACATTTTTTGAAAGAAAAACACCATACAAACACAAAATAAAAAGCAAAATAAAACTTTTAAAAGTACAACCAGACCTGCTTTATATATAACTATTCTATTAGTCTGCAGTTCATTGTGAGGTGTTATGTTTTTTTATTGAATGACATATCAGTGCTGTGCGTTTCTGCACATTTTTATTCATTATTCTGTACATATTTAGTTTCTAGTTTGTCTAGTATGTTTCTATAACCCCAATTTAATTTCTTCTTTGATGTATCCAATTAATATTTGCTGCTTCTACAGTTTCATTTAGCTTTTTATGATCAGAAAATCTCCAAATTAACCAGAAATTCAGTCTGATACTAACTCCTAAAATCCGATTTTAATAAAACTGGAATGAGTTTAAACGGTTTTTTTTAAAAGAATTTTCCCTAATGAAGTCATTTCTCTGGCAGTCAAATGCCTCAGACTGTCTTGTTTAAGTTAATTTCCAGCAAAATCTTAAACAAAGACAAAATGCACTGAGAACAAGTCTTAGAGTCCTCGAGGCTGATATTAGATCACCTCTCTTGTTAATACATGTTTGGTGTATACCTGAGTTTCACAAGACTGTGCCCATGTAAGTGAAACAGCATTTACCCTGAGTGACCCCGGTGCTCTGCAACAAACACCTGACCCTCTAAACTACTTTCTAATCTCCATTCTCAGCCATTAAGTGTCTCGGCGGCGGACACTGAGGCTGTTAAGTCTTACCGTATACCATATAAGAGGCTTTTTTTTTCTGGAGGCAAACTCCTGTGAACTGGAAGGTCATGTGAGGACTTCTCCCCTTCCCCGTTGCTCTGGCTCTCCAGTGGGAACCAGTCAGTGAGTGTGTGTGGAGACAGAGGAGCGCCCCCTGCTGGCCAGAGGTGGTGCTGAGCCCTTCTCACAGCTGCCTCACACATGCTACCCAGCACAAACGCTTTACTGCTTTATTCCCACTCATCTGTATCGCCTGTTCTTTATTCAGAGGTGACTTTATGGGGTCGTTTTGTTGCGATCGGTGCTATCATCGCCATTATATGATTATCTTCCACTAATCTCTCCAATGTAATAGTCCTGCAGGACCAATTTCTGGTGCAGGATTGTTTCTTATCTGCATTTTTAGGCAATCTGGGGCAGCAGGCTCCTCACTTCTCTCCAGAGATGGAGGCTTAAGATGATGGTCTTTTAGTAATGATTTCATTTCTGCCTTCAGTGAATCCCAGTTTGATCATCAAGAGTGAGAATATTCAGCTTAGCTCAGTGGAATTTGGCAGCGTTTTGGATTGTGAATTTGTAGTATACACTCGTGGTAAAAACATATACGAGAGTGATTGCACGTTTGTTCCAAGCCTAATGTCTCTGAGTGAATATTTTCCATAGTCTTCATTTTTCAAAGATAATTTTAGGATTAGTTTTAATTCCTCCTGGGTACTGGCTCTTTCTGTGAGCTATTTTAGAAACCACAGGTGGGCAGATACAGGTGGTTGTTAACAGTCCTGGCACTGAATACACTTGTTTTCTCTCCTCTCTCTCTTTGTGTCTGAGAAGCTTTT